GTTGCTTTTTAAAAGCAATGTCTGACTAAAAGAAATTCAATTTACCCACAGCCTCTCATGTACACTTGAATATATTTCTTCTGTATTCTTTATTTTACTGAAGGGTTTTCATTGCCCCATGCCTTTTAAGAATTGGCTGGAAGGGCTGTGTCTAAAATCCACTGGCTGCAAATCAAGTTTCTGACTATGAACTCTTTGCCTTACTTCTTTGCCAAATAGAAAGGAAAGGGAAAGGGGAAGAATGTGAAACCATTAAAAAATTTTCCTCCACAATGACAGTTAATTAATCTCAAATTCTTTTATTTATAATGAAAAACAAAAACAAAAAAACACTCTTTAGAGTAAACCCCTCTTAGTGTATGAAGAAAGCTGATCGATGAAGAAAGCACCTCAGCTACAATGAATTTTTTTATGTTACTTTTTATATTTGTTGCTATAAGGAATTAATGAGGTTTTATAATCCTAATGACTAATGTGCTTCTGAAGGAGCCCTAGCGGCACTTTCAGGTGAGCCCTGGACTGCTAGCCACAAGGTTGGCGGTTTAATTCCACCACAAGGTTGGCGGTTTAATCCCACCAGCTGCTCCTGGAGAGAAAGATAATCATATCTGGGCCTAGAAAGATTCACAGCCTGGGAAACCTTAAACAGAGTTACTATGAGCTGGAATCAACTTGAGGACAGTAGGCTGAGTTTACTATACTCATACTTATGAAGTTCCAGGTACTTTAGTAAATATTGTTTGAGTGTATTATGTCATGATTCTCTCTTTCTAGAAACTGAGAAGTAAAGAGTAAGTGACTTGTTTAAAACCATACAGCTATGAAGTGGTGGAGTGGTCTTTGAACTTGGGCTGACTTCACAGTCGGTGCTCTCCACCACATCCCACTGACCCCCCAGTTTACCACGTTAAAAAGAACCAGTTGTTAACCTCCCTGTCTATCTCACACGTCCATATGAGTTCCTGGGTTTCACACATAAAAAAGTTCCATATCATTTTGCTCCATGTGGTAAATTCTTAATCCTTTGCCCAGTGTGATGATCATTGCCAACCAGGGAAGCTCTCCCCGCTTCAGTGTCTTCAGTTTTTATTGGGGCTTCATTACAGAGACATGATTGATTGCTTAATTTTCTATATGGTTGAACTCAATCTCCAGCACCCCCTTCTCAGGGGTCAGGGTGACATCACAGCGCCCATGGGACCCACTTAGAATCACCTTATTAGCATAAATGATCATGTAGTTTAAGGGACTCACCATGAATAACAAAAACACTTCAATCATTCAAAAATGTTAAGGGATTAGAGGTTACCTCTTCAGAGCCAGGGCCAAAGGCCAGACCCCTTTTTGGGAGGAGCCAAATTCTTCACTATAATCTTTTAATTGCTGTAATAGTTCTCCCAAGAACTTCTAAGCTTTCAAAACTGCATGGATTTCTCTTCCCAATCTCCCTCTGCTTTTGTCTGTGCAAAATTTAGCATCTCATATGTCAGTTTTCAACTTCAGACTGCTTCCTGGTAGTTACTGCCCATTAAGAAACGTGGAACTTCTCTGACCTTTTGCTTTCTTCCCCACATTTCAGAGTGGTTACTGCAAGGAGGATCTCCAAGGATGCCATTCACTCCCAGGCACACTGCATGTGAGCTTACTAGTTTATTTTGAAAGCACGTGCGAAGGGTAGGAAGTAACCTAGTCTGTGACACAGCAGAGTTAAAATAAAATAAAACCAAGTATTTTGTATTTATTTACTCTTGATTATTGTACAAAATGTAAAAAACAACAATAACAATAAAAAACAACCTAAACAAAATTCAAAATGAAGAGAAATGGCCGCAAACATCCCATAATAACTGGAATGTGAAATGCATGAAGTATGAGCTCAGGACAATTGAAAGTTGTCCAGAATGCAATGGAACACGTGAAGGTAGACATCCTTACCATTAGTGAGGGAAAATGGACTGATAGTAGCCATTTTGAATTAGAAAACCTTTAGGCCTGTGGTGTTCGCAATGGTCAACTGAAGCGGAGGAGTGCCCAATCCTTCTCAAACGGGACTTCTCTATCTTCAATATTGTGTTGTCAGTGATAGTGTGATAGCCACACACCTACCAAGAATACTATTTAATGTGGTTTTCTTTCAAGTTTACACACAAACCAGCAAGTCAAAGATGAAGAAATTTACCAACTTCTGTGGTCTGACATTGATTAAACATGTAATCAAGATGCATTGATACTTACTGGTGATTGAAATGTGAAAGTTAGAAATAAAGAAGGATCAGTAGTTGGAAAATATGGCCTTGGTGATACAAATGATACTGGAGACCTCATGATAAAATTTTGCAAGACCAACAACCTATTCATTGGAAATTTCAACAACAAAAACAGTGACTATGCACCTGATTTCACCAGATGGAATACATTGG